CTGGAACTCGGCCATTCTTGTCTCAAACATCTTCGACATGTAGTTTAAGTTTTCTTCCAACTGTGAGTGTTTCGAATTCATTTTGTCTTAGTTGAGAAGTTTAAAGGAGAATCAACACTGCAGGCGAGCAATATAACTTATGCTTTGTAAGATAGCATATAAAAATTAGAATGAAATCAATTATATAAATTTTAATTTAATAAAGACACAGAGCTCAACTTTAAGCTGTTGATTAGGCAACTACCCCCAACATATGGGTGGTCATATAGGTCAACATATAGGTCAATTATCGGCACATCAATTAAGATTACTCAGAGCAATTGATATTGGTCGGTCAGCACATGCATCAACATTGGTTTAGGATTGGACGGAGCAATCCTTATTGGTCTTTTATGGTCCGACAGCACACCAATCTAGAATTGGTTTAGATTCCCAATTGTTTGCCGACAAATCATGATGGGCTTCAATTACGCAGCAAGTTTAGGATGTATTGGTGATTGTTTCACCCACTTATTCAAGCTTTTTTGAGTTAATCCACGATAAATTTGTGCATGAACATGAGGAACAGTAATAGTTAATAGACGCAATAATGTTAAAAATATATATAATCGAAAAACGGAAGTGAGTAATATTAGATAACAGATGTTTGTAAACGCCGCATACGTAGATAGAACAAAGTTGAAGTCATATCGCTGTCAAGGTTGGGACTCCGAAATATTATAAACAATATATTGTTCTAGAATAGTGATTTTTGTACTTATTATTGGTTAGGGTCGTATCGTGTCAAATGTCAAAATTTATCTAATTTGCTTGTGTTATTTAAGGGCTTGTGTTAAATTTATTATTTATTGTTATCGTTATTGTGTCAATGAAATCGTGCACAAAAAATAAAACAATAGAATGACGTAATTGACATCTTTAGCTGAGTGAGAATTACGCGAAGTCTGTGTTTACTTCCGTGTTCTATTTGCCATCATTCGAACGTATAGTCTATTACATTACCGATAGGACTCATAAAACTATCAATTTTTGACAAACAGTGAGCAGAAATAAATACATTTCATTCTTTTTTATATATTTACATTGAATAGGCTCCGAAACTCTTTCACCTACAGGAAACCTATATCATACGCGGTTGACATAACCTTTTATTTATATGGAAAACATTTAGTATGATATAAGGTATTAAGAATGATATTCCTAATCCATGTAAATATATTATTGTGTTGTATTTAACTTTTAATCACAAGTATGTGTTTTTTTTTGTATGGGCAGCAAAAATTTTTGACAACGTCCTCCGCCCCTGTCGCCACCCCTACTAAAAATATGTTACCGAAAAGAACTGATCGATTCAAAAGATTCTTAAGACTACAAGCAGCTAATATGTAGTTCATTAAAAATATTTTTGGTAATATTTCTTTTTCTCGTTTTTTTTTCACATACCTACGATTCTATAAAAATTTGAAAAAATGAACACATAACTAGTTATTAGTACAGCTATATATTAATTTAGTAATGATTTTTTTATAGATAATTTAAAAGACATTTACTCATACTCATACTCATTTATTCGTCTATAGGCAATACAGTACACTTAGATACGTGAGTTTACAAATTAATACAAAATCATTCAGGTTAAAGTCAGCAAATAAATTAGGTCAGAATGAAATATATGGACAAAACACAAAAAAATATAATTATCAAAATAGAAGACCAATTTATACAATCATTTTAAATACATAATCACGGCACATTAAATAATTTGTCACGTTTCTATTCGATTTCAAAAACTTTCTCGTCATTCATGGCTTCAGTCATATTATTATAAAAACTTTTGTTTATTAGTCTTCCTTTTACAAAATCATAAAATTTCTTTCTTGCTTACTTGGTAAGATGATATAATTTATTAATATTTATGACCCTTGCATTAAATAGATTAGTATTTCTTGAATTTGTTTTTTACTTTTCTAAATCAGGAACTATCAGAAAATTTAGACTAAACTAGTAATTAAACTTCACTTAAAATTCAATTCTCTAATCAAACGTATATAAAATTGAGCAAAATTGGCACGCGAGTTGATTATCTTTGTTTTCATATAAAAAAATGTAAATAATATATTAAAAAATATTCATGTTCCAAAAAACTTAGACGCTATTGAATTTATGAGTATTATATTACAAATGCTTTATCTTGATTTTTGTTTTTTTTTTTCACTATTCATCATTCGCCTCTAGTTCATTTCTTGTGAGAATGCGAGGAAGCGTTAGTAGCGGATTTCCTCTCATTTTAAGCATTATGAGTGAAGGAAAAATTATGAGGGACAATCATAAAAATTTTAAGTCTGTAGGCTCTATACTTCCTGCCATTGCGCGATTAGTCAGTTAAATGGCGTTTTGTTTTTATTATAAAAACTAAAATGGTATGATTACTTGACAACTTGATACGAACTGTTGCAAGATGATATTCTGCTTGTGATAAATTTTGAATATGAGCTTATATGAAACTCTCGTGGATATTCGACTACTGTTTTTGGTAATGAGTATGTTTATATTCTTTTACCTCAATACATCCATTCTGTGGATAGGTTTGATGACTTAATTTGTGTTTGATTATACGCCGGGTAGATTATTAAAGACTATTAAATGCGTATTTTTTAAATTTCTTGCATAATCTATGAAATGCGGCGATACATTGATTTGAAATGTCGCATGACATCACACCTTTGTACATTTTCTACATAGTTGTGACGTAGCGAGCTCCCAATCCTCAACTTTAATGCCGATTAAAAATGCGTATCGAATATTTTTCTATTATTTGACTGACGTAAATAGATTTATGATTCCTATTCATCATAAGTTGCAATTTTATGGTATGAAACGCCCTTATTTGCCGGGCTTACTTTTTTAATTCGAGAACATAGTTTAACGTGACGACGAGCGACGGGTTAATAAAAAACGATACAAATTTTAAACGCAACATGAAATACGCTTCGAAATAGATTCAATGACTATTTAATATTCAAATAAATTATTCAGTGTGTAAATTCAGTGAGTCGACGTTAAAACAATAGGGCTGACATGTCCTTGTGGACAAAAATCAGAATACAAATTCAGATAAAAAAAATTAATCTTAATCATTCCCAACGCTGGGACAAAGATCTTATATTAATAAAATCATAGAACGAGCCATCCATCGCGGGTGGAGCCGGAACTAAAAGAGAAAGCGAGACGTTCGTCTCATTCTTGTTTTCTGAAAGCGCAATATAAATAAGATAAACAAGGACAAAAGATGGCGTAAGCTATTTTTAATTGTTTGATACGATATTTTAATCATTACAATTATTGTAAAAGTCAAATTTTCGGCTACAAAATGATTCACATATTACTTATTCATTACATGTACTCATATATTTTAATGAAGAATTTTAGAATTAACTTTGTTGATATTTTTTTTATCAAGACAATTTAATATATGATATCCGTGCTGATATGATCTGATAACTGATAATTTTCACAAAAACTAAATTTATTTTACCAGTAGATGCAGCTTGTAATTTCTTATCGAACCGTCCATTTAACTTATCTTTGGGAAATTGTTAGTTAACAAAATTTACCAGCATGAGTGCGATATGGTGTAGTTCTTTAGGGTTCGTAATAATAAAGATAATTATTATTTTTGATAAATTTTTGATAATTATCCATAGTTAAAAAACAGTTATTAATAAGGTACTTTAAAGATGTTAATTTTCATTAAATATTATATTTAATAATGATATCCTTTAGTTCATCGCAGGTATGTGAATACAGTTCAATAAAAAAGTAAATGTTTAAATAAAAAGTGGGCTTTTAATTTTATTATTTGTTTTTATAGTAAAGTAGAAATTAGTTTGTGTAGTGTTTTAGAATTATCAAGTTAATTTTCACGGTATATTATCAAGGTACCTAATTATCATACCCAACCCTGAATTTTTTCATCTTCAACGAAAGACTATTTTTATAACACTGTTTTTCTGTAAAAGTTAAACTTCCTTCCCAAGCACGGAAGGTATCATAAATTAAGGGTCATCAATCCGATGAGGCTTTTGCGAAAGTTGTTTAATGTCCGCAATGACAGACCGATCACACCACATGACTGTGCAATCGAGCTTTCATCCGTTTCAGCTCAGACAAAATAACTATTTCTCAAAATTAAAACCTCATTTCAATTTCGCAAAAAGACATTTCTCATAATATTTAACTTCTTATTATATACATATACACTATAAGGAAAATATAACAATATAAGTTTGTTTTATGTAGTTGTACTCAAGTCACAAGCTATAATTTAATTGTGATAATAACAAATACAAAGTATTTCTTAATTTAAATATTGAAAATACCTAAATAAAAAATATATAAAAAACATTATAGTTCACATAAATCCTGGACCCAGACCAGGAAGGGACCCTCAAAACCCTCATGACCAACTCCCTGGATTCGCCCTTGTATAATATGGCACATTTAAAAATGTACTTCAAATTGTGTTAACTGACTGATCTAATTATAGACCCTGATAGAAAAATATTGAGCGGCCATTGAACTAACTATATTGATTGACGTAATTAATTAAAAATCTAGTTCATTCATTCATGTTACAATAATCAAACCTTGAAACTTGAAATTTCACTTATAATCGATTTATAAGGGATAAGATTAATAAGAATTTTAATGTAGAACATTGATACAATAATTATTATGCAAGTTAATTTCCATAGTTCTTATAATGATAATGATATCAAAACTTGGAACGCTACATCTTACATTGTACTTTGATCAAACGCCGGGTTTAATTTTATAAGTAACCGGGTGACATAGCTTATCATAAATAGAAGTCATAATAAAAAGTTGGACTATTTCCATTAAAAACATTTTCGTTCAAATATTACACGTTATAAAACATCGAGTTCCATCTTCTATTATAAATAAAATAATTAGTTTTGTAAAAATAAATATTTACTTACTTCGATATTGTTGAGTATATCGATTATAAAACCACCCGTAAATCGTTTAAAACAAATAAATCAAGTCGTACGCGTTCGCGATCTTTAATAATTGCCAAATAGAAAGTATATTGTCGGCCGGCCGTCCGTGCCGCGCGCACGTCTAAGTGAAACTAACGTGAATACTCACCGACCACACCATAATCACCGATACAAATTTCTTCAGATGCTTCACGAACACAGATGTTTTTTGAAGAGTTAATAATACACGGCTGAAGACCGTGGGCTATTTTAAGAAGTCGACGTCTATCGAAGGAAAATATTCCTATTATTAACAATAAAGTTCATGGTTTTCATATCTCTTCACCTTTAATGTATTTATTTTAATTGTGGTATAAATCTTTTGCGTTTTAATGAGTTTTATAAACAAGGATGATTTATTATTCTATTTATACCACTGAAACATCATGCATGGAGGGACAATGAGTCCGTCTTCGCGGGAATATTAAGCGATAAATACATACAAAAATTAAACTGGCAAAGGAGTTCCCATAAATTGATACAACACCTTTAAGTTTATTTAAATAAAAATGATTTTTCTTCTTCTTTTGAATAAGTATATTAAAAGCAACTAAGTTTAAGTACATAAATAAAAAGTATGCTATCTAGAAACTTGAAAATCGACAGTATTAAGTATTTTAATTTTAAAAATATTCTACACTAACAAAAGCTGCGACGCTCTCGTAAGAATAATGCTTGCTTGTTTTTGTATTGGAAAACTTCAAAGCATTAAACTAAACTAACATCACGTAGTATATTATTAAAACAATAATATTATATTATCGTGTTATATCAAATAAAACCAAATCATATTTATTTGCAAAAATTGCGTTATATGAAATTAAATTCATACATACATAATAATTATATGCGTAAAAATTTGCAATGTCCATCAAATTACCTTTAAAATAAACCAGCAATAATACTCATACTTACAAATATAAAATACAATTAATATTGTCAATAATAAATCTATGGATATAATTTTATTATTATTTATTAGAATTAAGAAAGTTTAAATTATTCGCTTGTTCAAGTCGCTTGTTTAAATTATAATACAGTTACTAAACTAATGTCAATTGAAAATAACATCCTGTTATCTCATTAGTAATAAATTAACGTCGAAAGCTATCTAAAAGATATTCTCTTATAAAAACAACCACTTCGAGCGCAGCGCTGTCACAGCATAGAAGTTCAAACAAATAGAATCTACTTTAGGAGGCAATAAAGGTTTTATTTCATTGAAGCTCTAGGCTTCACGTTTGATGTCTAGTTTAAGCATGTCCTGTACCAGGTCATACCTCATGAACTGTGTTAGTAAGATAGTTGTTTATTTATGTTGCCGCTATAATAAAAAACCAGACAAAATCGATATTTAAGGGCCGCACCATTATCTATAAAAAACGCAAATCACACAAATAAGTCATGCGCGAGTTCAACTCGTTATTGGCTGCTTTTTAACAGAATACCATCGCTGGAGCTTGTTTGAATATTTCACGAATGTTAGGGAAGCAAAGGAAGTGTGTAAAGATCGTGTTACGTGACACTCTACTAAGGTTCTCTCTGTCTCACTCAAAAGGGATACATTGTAGTCAATAATAATGGAAAGGGATAAGAATACATAGAGTCGAGATGAAGGTATTTTGTCTTTTTTTTTATTCGACATTCCTAAATTTTTTGTGAGTTCAAACCCGAAACCGAAAAATACAAGAGCTATCGTTTTAAAGTTCTTAGTTAAACAAAAGTATGATTTACAATTAATAGTACATTACAGAAGAAAGTAATCACATATGGAATATTATTCCTAATATAGAAAAAAAAAATCCTACCTTAATTAACCGTAATAAAAAAATACTTTGCAATAATCCAAGCAAATCCTTTAAAATGAATTCTTATAAAAAAAAAACATTTTTGCCCATATTACGAACAATTTAAGAACTAATTTCAGTACTCCAATTATGGATAATATTATGATTTGTATGGTTTCTTCCTTCTACATTATATTATCCGAAATTTCAAAACTATTTAATTTTATCCTTTTAATGTTGTAGAAAACTAAGTTCAAAATTTATCGTGCAATTTACCCGACGGATTTGAATAAAATATCGGAAATATTTTCCCTGCAAAATATTTAAGCTTAGGTACGAGTAGGGTATAGTAAAGATCAAACCACGCCGGCCCCTTTGATTGTCACTTTATTAGTAAAAGTACCTATATACGAGTATATATATTTATAATTGTGTAGTGTTCATATGAGTTGACATTGTTGATATTATACTGTTTTCAATTAATCGATTGTTATATGAGTGAACTTCAAATGATCGTTGTACCACCTAACAACAAACATTGTGCTAAAATTAAAGCTACATGTCAATGCTGCGGAGAAAAAAATTGCGCATAGTATTAACTTTGATGTACTTTTTTGTTAAATGTATGCTGAAGACTACGCATATATACGCGATGACCGTTCCGTCGTGTCGCGTGTGGCTTGCACTACACTAACTCGCTGGTAACTAAGCCTTACTTTTATAGACATTGCTAACAATATTAGACTTTTACAAGAATAACATTAAAGTTTATACTTAAAATTACGTGCTTTTTACACTAGCATTTCATCACTTATAGGAGGGCACACCACGTATCAAAAATATTACAGACCAGTGTACCCCAGTCAAACCACTGTAAGGAATATAAAGGTATGATTCAAATCTCGGCAGCATGTAGTCATGCTGCGTGTCACGCGATTCCGAACAAGCCGCAGTGACACGCATTTTTTCCATTCCTTTGAGTAGACAAGATGTCAATTAGGCACCAAGTTTTATTGAATTAGCAGACAAAGGGAAGAACGTTTTAAAACTCAGAGAGTAGAGGTAGAGTACGTATCTTTCTGACGATTCTACTAGTTGGCATTGCTGTGGAGCTTGGAGTTTAACTTACACTCATATTATAAAGAGGAAAGATTTTATTGATTGTTTGTTTGTAATGGATTTGTTCTGAAATGTTGGACCGATTAATAAATTAATAAATAATACATAATATGCGGCGAACATAGGTTATAATTTACTCAGGCGAAGCTAGTCGCCTAGTCTCATATAAACATATTTAACATTTAAAACGGGAATATTTTTTACTGCCAAGATCCGAATAAAGCTGGGAATTCATTAGATAATGTAAAGCAAAGTATGAAAATAAAGCCTTGGCTATTAAAGTAGGTTTTATTTGATTGAAGTTTTATGCCTTGTCATCGTTTTGCTTGACATCAAGTTGATAGCATTGCTAATAATTGCGAGAAAAAATTGTTTTAATTGATTGACCTTTTCATTGAGCTTTCGCATTGAAAAAACATGTCATGTACTGATTTAGTTTCCATTTATATTTTACAGCTAAAGAAGATAAAGGCTAGATATTTATAAGTAAAAGTTGAAAATTAATTAAAAGGAAAAGGAAAGGCAGGTTAATCTGTTGATGCCTGTTGCATCTGCGGTCATTAATACACCCATACCCAGTGCTGATTGGTATCCGCTATGAGCACTCGTGGTGGGTCATGGCTCATTCCTCCAATTTTATTTCATTCGATTCCATCCATAGGGAAGGCATGAGCTCGAGCACGTTAATATACTGGTGATGACGTAATTAGGAACAGGCCCGAACGCGATCGGTGTAAATTGCTATAATCTTGTAGAATTATGGAAAGTCTTATGATGGTTTTATAATATATTTGCTAACAACATTAATGTCAGAATGAATCTGGTATAACTATCGGGTTGGCACAAAAGTAATGAGACACTTGGTTTAAGTTTTTACTTTTTTATTATTATTACAATAAAAAAAGTTTAGTCAATGATGTAATTACCATTAGTATCTAAGACTTCTTGCCAACGATCCGGCAAAGTTTGGATGCCTTTTGCCCAGAAGTCTGGTGGCTGTGCCTCGAAAATGTTGTTCAACTCCGCCTCTACGTCAGAGAAATCATTAAATTGTTTACCCCGCAAATGCTGTTTCAGGGCTCTAAACAAATGATAGTCTGATGGGGCGAGGTCTGGGGAATAAGGTGGGTGGGGTATCGTCTCCCAGCCCAAGTTCTCCAACTGCCGGCGAACCACAGATGCGACGTGAGGTCGAGCGTTATCGTGCAGTAAAACTACATTGACTCGTCTTCGTCGTTTTTTCTTGATAGCGGCAGATAATTTGGTAAGCTGGGTTGAATATTTGTCAGCGTTTATAGTTTCATTGTGTAATAGCTCATAAAACCGTATGCCTTGCGCATCCCAGAAACAGCAAAGCAGAATTTTTCGGCGGTTCTTTTGACTCGGCTTCGGTTGAGTTGGTGGCGTTTCTTCTCGAGGCAGCCAAAAAGCACGACGTGTATCGTTCTCATAATAAATCCATGATTCATCTCCAGTAACCAGATCTGACAAAAACTTTTTACGTCGGGGTCGCAGCAAAAGTGACTGACAGAGCGACACGGACTGCACGACTGGCGTCTGTAAGGATGTGCGATACCCACCGAGCCAAAACTTTTCGATAACCAAGCTCATGCAGATGGTGTTCCACGGCGTGGTGACTGCATTTAAGTGCTTCCGCTAATTCACGAGTGGTAGCATCCGGATTCAACTGCAGTTCGCGGCGCAAATCGTCATCATTCACTGCGGGTGGTCGCCCTGAGCGTGGCTGACTTTCAAGGCTCCTGTCTCCTGATTTAAAACGGTCAAACCATCGGGACACCGTCGCATGGCTTGTACTTCCAGCGCCTAATGCATTGTTGATATTATCAGCCGCAGCCCGCGCACTGTGGCCTAACAAGTACTCGTATAAGTATAGTGTTCGAACTTGTCGCTCGTCCATTTTTCTTCAAACTGACTAAACAAATCGCGAGCGCGGCTTTATATACCCTACACCAGAAGTACCTAGAATGTTCTACAACATTCTAGAATATTATCGAAAAAATTGATTTTAAAAAGGAAATGTTATAGATTTTTCTAGTGTGTCTCATTACTTTTGTGCCAACCCAATAATTGTGAAGTTACTTGAATTAAGTTTTTCTAAACAGCTGAAGTAAACGATATTTATGAAAAAACTAGATCGGTACATTAGAATTGAAGCAATTTTTTTGTG